GACAAACCAGTCTACATAGATTTCAAAAACGGCAAACAGTATTTCGTATTTGTGAGCTGACACTTTTCGGTCAATGGGCTAAATCTAAAATGTCCACAATGCAGGGAATTTTTTCAACTACGCTTTCATTCTCAGGTTTGGATCAGCGCGAACATGTGAAACTTTTTTTTACCGTATTATTTATTTAAAATGTATATTAAAACCCTTCTCGTAAAATTCAATAACTGATTCAAGATAATGGCATTGTAAAGGGTCATGAAGCTCAGAAAAAAGTCCAGCTAGATGCGAAACCGTAACTGCTTGTTAAATAAAATTTATTAAAAATAACAAAAATAAGTTCCGAGTGCACTCCATGAACAATGATCCATACTCATTTCATTACTGAATAATATGGGTTTTCTGCTGAAAGTTTTATTTTCAGTTTCCAGTGCGTCGTTAAAAGTACCGCACTATAATTTCCCACTTTTTCTCCAACATTTGCAAATGACAAGCGCAAGGTCGAATGATTTACTGGGAGCAGTTCGAAAGTCAATTTACCTTATAAGCTGACATAATTTTTCTTGCCGTCGATGAAGCAAGGAAAAAGTCATGATCACTGTACAATATCGAATAAAGGAATCGAGATCAATTTTCTTAATAAGCGTCGATTTTTGCCTGATGATTAGAGACGCACCGATCACAAATATAAATGGCAAAGTGCTGAGAAAAAAAGGCCTCTGCGCAATAAGGACGAAAAATCGAATTTTTTGCGGAGTGAATGGTATTCTATTTCATTCCTGCATTTCGGTAGAAATTTGAATCTTTTCCCGGAATTATAAGTTTTTAGCAATTGGAATACATTGCTATATAGAAACTGAAATTTCGCAGCATTTTTCTCAAGAATGAGCCGATGGGTCAAACCATATTTAGTATAACTGGAAAGAGTTCCTGATGCAGTCTAATATTTGCATTCTTCGAAGTCTGCATTTTTCTTAATTATGTTTTCATTCACGAAACGTTTTTGAAGATCGGTATCTATGGAGGATCGTTTTTTAAATAATTCTAGTAGCTGTTCCAGCAGGATTACGTTGAGTTTTAAAATTAAATTTTTGCCTTTATTAGCGTTGAATAACGCCAGATAGCTAACGTACATTACCCTTTTTTTGTGGCCCCATCTGTCAATTTTCTAATTTGTGTTATTCATGGTGACATACATTGCATCTCTGCATGATAATCGCCTATTTTTAATCACATCTGATTTTGTTCAGCCGTTTCATGAAAAAAAAACGGAGAAGGCTGCAGGAAAACGAGAATTTGAAAACTTTAGCGGGTAAATTGGACCAGCAAACACATAGGAACAATGATTGCATTTGATATAAACTACCTGCGACATTGGAACCATATAATGATTACATTATGGATTGTAATTTCTCGAATTCATTTATGTTTCATTTACGACAGATTGGATATCTTTGCCAACACTTCATCTGGATTATTGTTCACACCTATTGATGACCGCGGCCTATCGAATTGTATTTTAATTATGGACGTACTGAAGTTTTACAGCGTATTTTTCAAGGCAAAATTTTATTGAGCACCATTGATTAAAAGTACAGTACTGCATTCATTTCAATCTGCGCTGCAGTAAAACAGTCTTCAAAGCTTTGGTTTCATTCAACACAGCACTGTATTGAATGATAATAAGGAGTACATTTTGTGAAACGCGTACAATACTGTTGAACGACAACTTGATGAGTTGAGGCGTTTTTGCGACCTCGAACGTCAGTCTCTTTTATTTCTGCTTCAATTCGTATGTGATATTAACCATTGTGGGCTTTAGGTCGTCCATATAATTATCATATGACGTGTTGAAATCGACTTCGTATTGCCCGCAGCACAGGCGTTTATAGTCAACTGAAACAGCGACGAGCGGGATATTAAAGTCGGTCGGTGTCACAATCCCCGGATGGTCGCCAAGAGAACCTTTCATAATAACGACGCGGTCCAGATTTACGTAAGCTATACGGTTCTCGTTCGTTGCGACAGCGACGTCGAGCGAATTTTTCAAGGGATTCGAATCCCATAACAGCTTTACGCTGCTGTTATTGTCCCCTTTTCCGTCTGAGCAAAAATAAAGTTTTCAAATATATTTACTTCCTGTGATTCTTTTAGAAAGAAGAGGTCATTGTTTCGCAGCTCTGTGAAGATCTTCGTAAAGGCCTAAAGCGCGATCAAAACTTACATGACATGACGTATATAAGAAAAAATCTGTCTAGTAAAAACAGTCGTAACATCGCACACTGAGCCTTTACTCAACCCTACACTATCGTTAACGATTTTTTCCCCCTATAGTAACAACTGCGCATTGTTCAGTAATTATTACGAGGCTTTGAAATTCGCTGGTTCGCGAAAATTAGACGAGATAGAAATCGTTGCGTATTTTCGTGGGAAACTACTCACTGCGTCATTGCTTCCCATATTTCCGTGAACCTTTATTTTTGAGCATTGAAAAAATACGTCAAAATATTTCACCTCCGAATGTGAGAAATAATTTCTTCCAAGCAGCTCGTTGGTTCTACTTATCCTTCCATTACGTTAAAATATAAATTTTCTTATGAACAATCCACATTTCAATCGGTATTCAATAGGCTGTGTCCTTGAAGTGAAAATAACTGGAATGATTTGTTCCATTAGATTTTTATTACTTTCAACGAGCTCTACCTTCGAATTTGAGCCAAGAAGCATTTCCGGATTTCGCGCTAGTTTTGAATGTACTGTACTGCATATATTCTTTTTTAGACAGATCATTTTTGTCAGCATTGTAGCGTGTGACTCGGAAATGAGTTGGGATGTGATAGCAATTGAATTTTTTCCCCCTATAGTAACAACTGGACATTGTTCAGTAATTATTACGAGGCTTTGAAATTCGCTGGTTCGCGAAAATTAGATGAGATAGAAATCGTTGCGTATTTTCGTGGGAAACTACTCACTGCGTCATTGCTTCCCATATTTCCGTGAACCTTTATTTTTGAGCATTGAAAAAATACGTACAAATATTTCCCCTCCGAATGTGAGAAATAATTTCTTCCAAGCAGCTCGTTGGTTCTACTTATCCTTCCATTACGTTAAAATATAAATAAAGAATACTTGTTAGGTGTAAAGTTAGCCATAAGTTATCCGACACAGGAACTTCACTTTTATTGACCTTACTAAACAAGGTAATCTAAAAATAATGAAAGTTGCTCGAGATGGAAGCTTAAACTCGGCTCGAATACAATAAATCCTGTTCTTGACCATGTTTTGTGAAAAAAGGTCTTCCTTTAAATACCCAGAAAAGATAGTTTTCATTGCAGATTTTGATTGAAGTTGAATTAAATTTCCAAGGGAAAGAATCGATGTGGGGATGGTTTTGTGGAAATCGCTGGTAACGAATGATGAATTTTTTTCTAAAAGGCAGAAACCTTCCTTTGGTTCATACTTTTGAAACTCATGAATTTTATTTTAATGGGTTGTCGTGTAATCACAATGCATGCAAGAATCAAAAATCCAGAGACGATTCTGAATTCAATAAGAGGAATGAAATCAATGAAATTAAAGATAACGGAACCATAATCTGAGCTTCGTAAAAACCAAAATTAATAAAGAAAATTAAGAGTTAGGTTGCATCCGTTTTATGTAAGACATTTTTCGGGCAAGTGGCTATAGAAGGAACATTTCTTTACAAAATTATAATCAAAAAAAATCTATTTTCCACCCATGGTGCATATTCCAAGGCTGTTCTCACACTGTTGCACGGCTGCAGCAGAGGCAATATTTCAATATTTTATGCGTCGAATTTTCCACCTTGACCTCGTATTGAACAGTAGATAGCGTAAAGAAGTCTTACTACCATTTTACCCTAACTGGAATGCCTTTAGCCTTGTTCCCATTACTACTAGCGGACCGTGGAGTCTGCTCCGGCTAATAAGGCCAAGAGAGGATAATCTTCTTCGCGAATTTTTTTTCCCCTTTTTGAGTCTGAATTTGCTGAATCAGCACAGGAAATTTTAATCAAGGCCGTGAATAATTTTGAGTTGGTTTATGTTTGTCCGATAAACCGTGAAAAATTGAAAGAACGAAAATGTATTGAGACTGAAGATAGTATGTTTCTTTGGAAGCAGGCAGCAATTCTAAAATTTCAAACATATTAAGCATATGTATGCATCCCTAAATCTTAAAAATGTATTCAAAACCCCATAATTGTAAATATTTTGTAGATTTGACAATCATGAATAATTATAAAACTGTTTACTGAATAGCAAAACTGGAAAATGGCCAAAATTTCGGAATCCTATATACAGTAAATATGACCAGGAAATAAACTATCCTTACTATCAATACAGTAGTTACGACTGCAACTTTGAAGAAAGAATGAGCTTTTCCGTTCGTGAGTTGATTTATTTTATTTCTAAATTTAGCCCATTTTTAAGGAATTTTTGCAACAGTGAACAGCAGTTCGAAAATGTGTCAGCGCTGCGCAAATAATTTCTATGTAAATTTAATAATGACCTATCATTATATTATTATTACCAAAGTAAATATTGTTGAGTGAGGCCAAGTAATTCGGGATAATGTGAAATCGAATGAAAAGTTTTGCGAATTTTGGAATTATGTTACCAATTTTATTGGTTTCACGTAAAATAACAAATCATGCAACAATAACAAATCTAGAGGCAATCCCGAAATTGATGAGAGGAATGAAATCGATTAAATCAATAATAGCCAATTAAAAGCAATATGCCGATGAAAACGAGGCGAGGTTTTTCTTTCGAGGTGGGTGACAAGCTGTATTTCAACATGGATACAAACGCAGTATAAAACCCCAATTTATCGGTTCTTCGATGAAATCCCTAGCAGAATCCACTGCGCATGATGTGACTCATATGTCCCATATTTCTCTTTGCAGGATTTTTTTAGCAGAAAAATCCGGGAGGTAAATATATATTCGCGAATTTGAAAAATATTTTACCTAGAAAAAGAAAATGGTCGCCGAACGACCGCGGGCACAGGTTGCCCTCGTGGTGGTCGCAAATTTAATTAGGGACTGCGTAAGCGTTTCAAAGAAGGGTGGAAGCCGACTCAGTAATAAGCGACGACGAGCAGGGCAGGCTGTTTCGCATAGGGAACGGGTCAAGGCGTTGGGCCCCAAGCGGCCCAAGGTCGTCGTACGATTCACTGTTTTCGCATCGCCGAATGTCGCAGCCGACGTCGTGTTCCCCACAGCGGATGACGGCGGCCTCAACAGACAGCGAACCCGGCAAACACAACAGGCGTCCTTCAGTAATAGACGGATTCCAGTGCAACAGCAGCAACCCAAGCAGCAGCAGCAACCACAACAACAACAACAAAGTTCTTCGAGTTTCGAGCGTGGATTTCCTGAATTCCGAGTGCAGAATCCTCAGTTGAGGCCGCAGCAACAGCCGATACAACAACAGCAACAAAGGCAGCCTTCAGTAGTACAGCCGATTGCTCCAGTGCCCACTGGTCGACTCATTTCTCAGCGAAACCCGGCAATAAGCGAAATCCAAACGTGAGCAAAATAATTTTTGTTTTTCTTATGCAGAAGTAACAGAAAATTGAATCGAGGGGCTCCACAGCAAGCAGACAGATACGGACGTCAAATTGCATTCAGAGGAACTCACCAAATTTTAATTGGGGAGTTTTTGAGCTAGAGGACGTCGTCTTTTTTGTGTAGGCAAAATTAGGAATCACAAGAAGGGCTGAATAAGTGAGTTAACAGGATGATGAACTTGGAGGCAAGAGTAAATTTTTCAAATTAGTCACTCACTTCTTTCTGAAAAGCATCAAGTTATCTTCTATTGCTCGATCTTTTTCCTGTCCCCACATAATAGCTTTAATCCCTCTAGAAATTCGAGTTATACATGTTAGAGATGGGGAAGTCTTTGAAATAAGGAGGTACAGTATTTATTACATTGTTTGTCGGTGAATTCTGATCGGAGCTCTATATAATTTCAAATAGGAAGGTTCACAACTTTGGAGGTCTGAGTTAGCGAGGTCCAACTACACTGAAATCGAAGATAGAGAAGAAAAATTAGATTTCAGTTTACCTTTCCATGCGGAAAACGAACGCGGTGCTGATGATTTCCAAAAATTCGGGAGAACTTTTTTGAGCGCAATTTAAATTTGCATCAACTATTATTGTAGTTACTAGAAAATTTCAATGGTACAGTATATTGCTGTGGCTGAAATCCACGGCAATCCTTGTTGACTGCACCAGTAAACATTTAATAGACGTGATCATGTGACCTTGCACTTTTTATTAAGTAATTCATGCCAAGATCGAATCTGTTACTAAATTTTGCAGCTCTAATAATCGCAGCATACGTCTGGAAATTCACAGAAATTACTTCTTTTTCAGAATGAATGATTCAAAGGATTGTACGCCGGTAAGAAGAAGTGAAGGATGCTTCTAAACTATAAGCAATTACGTGATTACATCCCGTGAAAAGTTCCAATCGTAACACGCACTGCTATTTCGCAGCTTAATTTCCGAACAATTACTAAATAATACACGACTCGAAAATGATTATCCTTACGTGTGGCATCATCGAACAACCAGCATAAAAATACTTTAACCACCAGAGAATTTCATGGGAGCACGCTTACATACAATGCGCAATTCGACCCGATGAGAAGCCGGCAATAAAATGAGTCGCGTTGCTACAGAGTCAACGTGAGAAATTCACTTGGTTTCCCTTCGCAGCAGCAGCTGATGATGATGATGATGCTGATGTCGGTTCTTTTTACAAAGCGTTCACAAAAGTCGGAAATGGCTCTGTTTTTGTCGCGTTAAGCAATTCCGAAAGCAGTTTTCGTGAGCATTCAACCAACCGCGTAGCGGATCCAAGTTCATTAGCGAGGGCCTTGTCAAGAATCAATTTTCCGGTGCACGATTTAAATCAAAATTTCAATTTTGGGTCATTATCCTTACCGTCGAATCAGAAATGGAAAATGTATTCCAATAAGATTCATGTAAGTCGCGGATGAACGTACACGCATTTATTTCCATATACGCTGTCAGCGGAAATTACAAGATTTTTTATTTGGTAAACTGAATTCTTAATTTCATCTTGAGAAAAGGAGCCGCTTTTGGTCTCGACCTGCGGCCTATGCAAACCAAAATATTTTGAGCAGGTTGCAGTTAAGTCTTGGTCGTACGGACTTAATCGATCATAATTAAATTGCATCTAAAAATAATATTTAAATCACAACACGTACATGACGTACTTATAAGTTATTCAGTAGCAATATAAATATCCTTTCCAGATACAGTGCTTGAAGATCTGCATGGAAGTGGATGTCTTCGTTTCTCAAGATGGGCCACAATTTCTCAACAGACCCATACTTCTCAACTTCTACTTTTATTTCAACAGTGCTTTTCTATCTGACCACCTGCTGTACACAGGACATACTCGTACAGGCCGCATTTTCTCTCCCAAGAAAAAAAAAAGTTGAAATTTGTTGCAATACCATTAATTTTCAGACCTCAAATCGCTGGTCAGCACCAAAATGCGTGGCAAGAAATCACGCAAATACGTTATTCCCGTCATCATCAGCGGTCGTTGATCTTTTTCCATTAGTTATCTGAGCCGTATGATCTTCACTCACGATCATTGTTTTTCTCGGCAGAAAATATATCCAGGAAGTTTTCCTCGAACTCGATCAAGATCAACGGCCTCTGCAGCACGATATTGAATAGTATTTATACAATGTGACGACGAGTCAATATCAGATTTAAATGCACGCAGAAATAATGATATATTCCGTCATGTTTTTGATCGATGAGATAGAATGCGGTTCCGACTAGCGGGATGACGGCATTATGATTGTTGTTCGAATTGCGATCAAGATTCATCTAATTGTGACGTAACGGCACTAGTGTGTGCAATGACCGGGAGTATTATGCACTGTCGCTTGAATACCGATCAACCGAAGCATTGCGACTTCGGGTCGTTATTTTCAATTTTTAATTGCCCTCGACCTGAGGTACAGTACTGCAGAGAACTTCAAGCAAACGAGATCAAGTTTGCGCGAGGGAGTTAACCTTGATAATTCTCTTGTTCCCTCACTTCGTCAGCTTTAGTTCCGAAAAATTGAATGAAAATCTATGGAAAAATGAGCTAACATTGCGAAATCAAGCCCAATATTATTACGAGCCGAGAAATCAACTTCTGGGAGTTGTGGCGTGAGACAGTTTCTTGAAAATAAATTGCTTCGCGGAATAATTGTCAGCATTTGTATCCTAAATTACTGCAGTGTAATCTGTGAATTATGCTTTCGACGTTCACGGATGTCATGGATTTGGTCAATCAGTTTTCAAGCCAACAACAATTTAAAATTCAAGACTTGAATTTTAAATTGATGGAAAAGGAGTCACTTTTTGCGAACGTGCGCAAGTTAAATAACTAATCCGATCAGAAGCCGTTTGAATTAAAATGGCTTCTGACCAGCGGATAATCATCAGTTATCCAAACAAAAACTAAGATTTTCATAAAATGTTCCATAGTAGAAATCGCAATGGGAGACGGGAGAGAAAAAGCAGGGGTGAAAAACAAATGACAAGAAAAATGCAATGTTGAAAAGTCTTGAGAACAAAATCTATCGTTCTATCCCAACCCTTTTTGTATTATACTGTAATTCTTGTTTTTTTTCAACTTAGACAATACTTTTTTAACATTCCATAAGCGTGTTTATTCCTCGTCTTTCCTCATACAGTATTAACTGTCTCCTGGTAATCCACAGCTTATTCTTTTTCATTTTTTCAGCAAAATTTTCACCTGCGCAGCGTTGTTTCTTCTCAGTGTCATTTTCTTCCACCGCGCTTGCTACTTCGGTCTCAGGCGTTTTAGTATCTCAGACATTTCGAATCGCAGCAAGGTGAAATATTTTTTCGAACAAACCCTTGTTGAAAGAATCTTTCGTCCAATAACTTATACTGCGTCCTTCACGAACTTTCTCCCATAATCACGAGACCGGAAAGAAATTCAGACCATCCCCGCGCACGGTAACGTGAAATTCGCTTCGTTCCATCGGGCAGAACGGTAAATAAAAGAATCATGGGTTATTCAATCAACCGTTAAAACGCATGTCCAGGACGCTATGATTTGAGTGATGCTACGCTATATAAATCGATTAGATCCTTTGCTTTCGTCAAAGAAACCTTGGAGAGAAATGTGCAGAAATTAAAGAAAATAGCTTATGGTATTCAGCTCGAACGCTTACTCTTGCGTCATATTTCCGCTTTACCACGCCAAGGATCGATGGGCTCAATTTTCTTGCCTGCACGAAACTAAAATTCTCCCATTTCAGCTCGAATTTTACTCGAGCTGAATAACTGTAAACTCGGTTGAGGAAAACCAGCATTTTTTTTTATCAAGGTCGAGAAAGACAAAATCAGCCGGTTTGAATGGGTGTCAGGATAAAACGCCAGCGTAGAGAAAAATACAGCACTATTGAGAATACCGCTGTCATGAGTCGGGAAATAAATCGCCGAAGCTAGCGGAGAAAATTTCGTGGAGAAAATACTGTATGTCATTAAATAATCGGGAGGAAAATAATCTTGAAGGCAAAGCAATTTATTTCAATTACTGAATCTTGCCGTAAAATGTTCGACAAAATATTCTTAAGTATACAACTGCCCAAGAATGCATTCTGCTCTTGATTTTCAAATTTAATATCCTTAATCCTTAATTCGTACTTTTGGGCATTTCTGACATGCGGCATTCTCCGCCTAGACTTTGTTGACTACAACATTTTCTCCCACGATAGCGCGTTTTCTTCACGTCACATTTCATCTAAATAAGTTGCTCATTGTTTCTCAGCGCTCATGCCTCTCCCGTTATTTCATCTCCTGGCATTTCCCGTCTGTGTCGGCATTTTTAAGGCGACGTTCATGATGTTATCGCCATGATAGGAATGAATGTGGCATGTGTTTTTTATTTACTCACTGTTATCGTTTTCATTTCAGTAATGAATTCCACGTTCCCGAACCACACGGAAATCTCCAGCCGGGCTTCACTGAAGAAACAGCCGGACCATTCGTGGAACTGCCGTTCTCGGCATTCGGGATCAAACCCGAAGACTACCACGATAGCAGCGATAGTGGGGACGACCAGGATTACGACACCGAAGACGTAGACACGACCCCACCCCCGGTTGTCACAACGACCGAGAAACCCGTTCAGGGTCGGGTCACGGACGAGGCTAATCCAGGCCTACAAGAGCCCGAACTCACGGTCAGTTCGTATGGTGACTCGAAATAAGGGAGATGGCCCTGAATGAGTGATCCTGGGTGAAGGTCGAGGTATCTCGCCACGCCCGCGAGATCCTCCTAAACAAATGCTCCGAAAAGAATATTTTCACACCTTACGAGAGTTACAACTGTTTTTTTTTCCTTCTCTGCGGTACAGTCTTGTACGTATTCGGAGGTGGTATTCAATCACCATCACCGTATTTAAAGATCAACTGATCCAATGTGACTCATCAAGTAACCGTTAGTTTTCCTTAAACGTAATACTGGGGCTGTTTTTGATGCCTTTTTAATCCTTTTACAGTCGAAAAAGTCAAAATATTCTAACTGTACGGATAAGTTCTGAATAAATTAATGCATCAGAAGTCTGAACACGGATTCAGCTAACAAAAATCTTACAGTGTAATAGCAGGCATTTTAACCTTATCAAGAATTGAAAGTGCTGACGCAAAGAAGGATTTCTTTTCCATCCCCCCAAGCACAGACGGCAGGTCCATTAGCAATTTCGAAAATGTTCTAATATACAATAATTATTTTTCAATTTAGGAGGACGGGTTGATCAAGGGGGATCCATCTGTGAACGGAATCAATTTCCGTCCATTCGGTGTTGTTCCGCTCAAGCCCATTCACAATGGTTGGACACGTGAAACCGCCGGAAATTTCGAAACCCTACCCTTGAGTGAGTTCTTTTTGGACGAAGTTGAAAACACCGGCATCAAGAAAAAAAAGCCAGAAAATGAACAGACTCAGTCTGCGCCGCAAACGACAACAATACGATCGTTGCAACAGTTCAACCAATTCGCTTCTAAGGTATGAAGTGCTGACTGGACATTATGCTTTGCTTTTTGTCAGAACGAAAAGTTGGAACGGCATGGAATCAAAGGTCTCATCGCGCTAAACGTATTTTGCTCATCCCGCCACGCTCGAGAATTCCTTTATTTTATCTTAAATTATTTCAGTATTCCGCGAAATACTGTATTGCGTAATTCGAGATCTATCGAGGAAAAAACGGTGGCCAACGTATTGGAAGAACATTATTTTATGCAACATAGGGCTTTTTGGTGAGGATAAAAAGTATTTCTTATTGCGACCCGTCGGCCTCCGATTTTTCTAGAACTAACAAGAGATTGAACGATTTTTTGTAGACTCACACATATGCTAAGCGCATGGTTCATTTTGAATGACAGTCGTAATATTTGGTTAACTTCAATTCATACCTGAAAAATGAGATGCGCAAGGATCACAATGGATGATACAGGTGGAATCTCTCTCCACGACGAAATTCAAGGGATAAGAAAAAAATTGTTGTGGAGAGAATTGCATGGTAGGAAAAAAAATGGAGAGAGAACGCTATGGGACCACACAAAATATTCGTTGTACAGTGAAAATCGTTGTTGACAATATTGCTCTAGAGAGAGCCCACATGAACTTTTTTAACCGGAACGCCAGGTCAGATTACGCGGGTGAAACCAAGGAACAGCGATGGTTCATCTATTTTTTAAGGTGTCTGCTCATCTCTTGGGGGAGTTTTTTTAGTCGAGTGGATGGAGCGTCTCACAATTTTTACCTCTTACGAAGAATACTGCACCTGATAATTTTCTTCCCATTGCTCGCATTTGACAATCCAAGTTTTAAATGAAGCGAAGATAGAGAGTTGAAAATATATCTTCAGGAGTTGCATGCTCGATAATCTTCTGATAAATATTGACTTATGTATTGTAATGCCAAAAATTAATTTTTAAACTCAAAAAATTGAAAATCTTCTCAGTAACCATGTTTCAAACATGACAACCGATTAAAAAAATGATCGAAAAATCTGATCTGGACGATGTTAGTTTTAGTGCAGCTAAATTCAAGGGTACGTTCCTTATTTCGAGCCGGCTTTTACAGCTATGTTCAACACGAATACCGAGCCAAAAAGTTTGTGATCCTTGCACAGAATATTTTTGGACGGTAGTCTAACCAGCGACTGATTGTCATCCGCGTTTAATTTAGATATGGTTGAAATTGCATGGATGATACCCGATTGCATCTTGCCTTTCTGTCGTTCTTCCCTCTCCGTCTTTTTTTTCTTTGTGCTATGGTTCTTCCTTCGGGTGGTCTTGACAACTTCCAGGATGACGACGATTTTCTAGAACCAGAGGTGACCGTCAAACCCAAGCCATTGCCAGTCGTTCCAATTCGCCTCGAACACAACGGCTACAACGAGCGAACCGCGGGAAAATTCATCGAACTGCCATACAGCGACTTCTTCCTCGATGACGTGCCCAATAAGGGATACCTCGTCACTAAAAGTCCAGCAGAGAAGGCGAGAGAGGCAACAACGCCAGACTCCGGTTCAGAAGAAATCACAACTACGCCGACAACTGGCCCAACTGCACAAACGGTTAAATTCACCACAGAACAAACTACCACGGAAATCCCCCCAACCACGTCAACAACCCGTCCTCAACCGATCACAACAACGGAGCAGACGCGGGATTTTAGACCTTTGGTTTTTGTTGAGCAAGAAGCGCCGAAACGAGTTTTGCCAACGACTTGGGATTCATCACTGAACAGCATTTTCCGGAAAATCCCTGACACTGAACCAAGCTTCTTCACTTCGCCACACACAACTTCACCATCCATTGATTCCACCACAGACTCGGAGACAACTAGATTTTTGGATAATGATGTTTTCTCTACTATTGGGAAAGGTCTTCCAAGTGTGTTTGACTCAATTTTAAATGAAGGAGGGCCTGAGCAGGCAACATCTCCGGCAGTGAGAAATACGATAGATTTTACCCCGATTACGTCCAGTGCTGCGGAAGATGCAACCGAAGCGACTCGCGGCGGTAGAACTCAATTTCAACCAACAAGTCCATCGAGCATTGGCAGATTTTCCCCGACAACATCGATTGACCTTCGAGGATTCGAACATGGAACATTTTCTGCTCCTGGGACAGCAGAGATGACTGGAGACAACCCTGATTTTCCTACAACATGGCAGCAAGCTTTTAGCCATGGCCCAAAATTTAATTTTGATTCAACTACGAAGAGAACTTTTGGAACAAACAAAATCTTTTCTGATCTGGCCTCCGAACGACACGGAAATGGAATCACAGAGAGTTCGCCTCCTTCCACCAATAGTTTCTCACCCAGTAAATCTACTTTTAGGAAAAACCCTGCTTCTGAAGAAATTCAACCGGGCCGCTTTCAGCCGACCACAGAGCCAAGCTTCATCCCAATAATCGCGTCATCAGATGTCAAGGGCACCGAATTTAAGTCGGCTGTAGTGAAAACAGAAGCCAGGACAACAACTCAGAATAATCGCAGCTTTCCAGCCACTCCACAAACAACACTGAGTCACGGCCCAGATTTCAACTCTGATCAGACGTCAAGAACCTTTGAAACAAATGAAGTTGCCACAGAGCCTAACCCTAAAGATTTACCAAAGCTTCCAAAAGCTGAAGTAATTTCAGCACATTTGCCAAGAGGGAAAGAAACCACAACTGAGCCTACAATTGATACCACAAGAATAACGAGGCTTCAAACATCAGTGAATGCTGTATCGTCAAACATTCCGAGGAAGATTTTCAGGAGGATTCAGAGACCAAGGACAACGATTATTCAAGTAACCACCCCTCCTATGAATGAAGGCTTTGAGGAAAACACAATCAATACAGATACATCTTCAATGACAACGGTTTCTCCCCCTCCAACAGCAAACGCATCCACAAAGAAAATCACCATGAGTAAAACTTTCACACCATCAGCAGAAAACACCCAAACACAGTCAACAGAAGACACCTTTACGTCAACTCACTCGGATGATTCGTTTCCTTTAAAATCTGTTACTTTCCCATCCTTCCAGCAAGCGCTAGAACGCTCCAGGAAACGTTTGGGACAAGGTGTTGAAAAAGGATCTGAAGATAAGTCGCAGCCTGTTCACCCAGATTGGCGAGCAAATTTAGTGCCTGGAACAAATAATAAGCTACACAATTTCACAAATGTGGCACAAACTGCAACTGAAAATCTACCCCAAGTAACAGCAAACAACAAGGATGAGGAAATAGAAAATGCAGTTGATTCTGCGTCATCAACTCAACCACCACGAAGAACATGGCGGCCAGCAACGTTGAGACGAGTGGTGCCAGGGCTCCGCTTCAAAGCTCGCGGATCGGGCGACAACAGTTCAGATTCTACACCAACCCGATTGTTCCGCAGACCAAAATTGAGCAGCCCACAAGTTGACAGCACAACTACACCATCTGTGACACCTACAACATCAGCAGCTTCAGAACCACCTTCACGCCTCTTCCGTCGCCCCATCACTCAAAATGTTGTCGACGTTGCAGAGGGAGCTTCAACAGAGCCTACTTCAACACGAGGTTCGGAATGCTGCATACAGTATTACTGCTCCATCTCGAAAGTAAAATGCCATAAATTCTATGACGCAACATAATTTTTAAATTCGTTGAAAAGTCCATCAGGAAATCTAAGACGCACTGTTCCTTGTCCTACAAAAACTACTGCATGAATCGAAATGTGAAAAATTACTCTCTTTTTTTTTTTTTTGGAACGGGGCAAAACAAAATTTGCGCAATGAAGTATAGTACAGAACATAACTTATCACTTTCAACAACGCCAAGCAGATCTTTTTCAATGTGATTTATTCAATGAAAAAATCACGTTCAGATTACCAAGACTGACGCATTAGAACCTACTAATTGGTCTCACAACCTCAAAGAGATTCAATTTCAATGAACAATTTTTACATCAAACGGGAATAGTCAAGAAGAGAGCAGACCAGGTGTTGCGCAACAGTTCAAGGTAGCATTGAACAACCCACTTTTTTTTTTACTTCAGGCGTGTCTCGGCCCGGTGTGACAAGACCCAGTTCTTCCAGCGACACCAGTACTGTTACCAAGTCTGGTAATCTGGTCCCTGGTTTGACAAGAACCTCGTTGCGGCAATTCTTCGAACAGAGGAATCGTATGAGGACAAGTGTTTTGGTATCATCAAGAGAGGGCGTTGGAGTAGCAGGGAAGAAAGATGCCAAGGAATCGGGGTCGCTGACTGAAGAAGGATCCGCAACTCGCTAGAATGAAAAGAATGAATTGGGGCAAAATCCAAGGCACATGCTTATTTGACACCGTTTCCACACAAAACCGGAGGATTTCAAATTCTGAATGAACCAACCATTCAGGAATTCGACGTTTTGTTCACAAACGTGTTGATTTGTTCCTGGAAAAAGTGCGCACGTAGATGCGTGTCCACACAAAGATTCATTTTTGTGATTTTTCAAGCCCAATGCCTGGCAGTTTTTAAGGAAATGTTCGGGGAAAATTGTGGGCTAAGAACACATTTTTTTGTTACAAGTAGAGATGTTCAAATTGAAACTTAAAATATAGTCTTTCCATATTTTTCTATTCTCTCAAAATGATACCGAAATTCTTTAAAAGACGTTAAGCTAATTGATACGTCGGAAATAAAATTGAATGTACGCGGAGAGCAAACAAAAAACGCGCTGCTTTAAAAATGTTGAGCACCTCAAGATATACTGTATCCAGTACTATTAAGAGCTTTTGAAATCCTCTTTGATCAAGACTGTGTTCTATACGTTATTGAGATCGCGTATGTGACAATGTTATTTTGTTTGGTATTCGTTAAGAAACTTGTCAGTTACCAATGGCGTATTCGTATAATAGAGACGTTTCCGGCATGCCTCAATAGTAACAAATATCTCAACTGCTGTGAGAAGAAATTTCCGTCTGTTTTTGATTTTCAAGTCATGATCATTTCCCTATGAGAGCGGATGCCTTCGGTATTCAGGATTTTGCGGAACTTTCAAGTCGAGAAAATAAAAAAATATTTGAACTGAAGAAGTACAATTTGAGTTTACTGAAGTTGTTACAATAAGTGGCTGAACAGTAAGCTTGAATTTTCAGCAGTTGGAGGCATGACAGCCCTTCTGCCATATGCGTGTTTCTCAGAACTCCTGCACATTCACAGATTGATCATTGCACTGCTTTTACAAAACATCACCAATTGCTTTGATTTTGAGAAAATTTGCAAGATGAAACTATAGCAGTTCACGAACAGATGATGAAAATCGCCACGAAAATTCCGATCAATTTTCAGCCGTATCACCTGTGATGAGCTCTTTTAGGGCGTGACCGACAAATAAAAAGCAAGTGAGCATGACTTCATTAGTTCAGTGAACTGACGCAAGAAGTGTGATAATTCATGAGCTTGAGGATTTCAACAGTTTCGTCTTGTTTTTTTTTATTCTTATCCTGTCGATTTTCCAACTGGATTTTGGAAAAATTCAAGAAAAACTCACCTCTTGGAGACACATAATCTCAATGCGTGCAGGACCATCGGCGAATTTTTTCATCAAACGCATGAATCCAACGACCGAAGGCAGGGTTGGTGAAAGAATGGGGAGATCACTTTGAATCTTCTGCACTACAGTGGTCCAATCAAAGTTCTGATTGATCCCCTCCGGAAGCAGGAATAAAACGACGCTTGGGATCTGCCAGAAAACATCGGCACAGACCCAGATTACAAAGGCATTTTTTCCCACTTCCCCTCTAGTGAGGAAACCATGGAAAGCCAATCCTGTACATACAATTGATACAAAACATCAGGAACTCAATCCTTCTGCCGCCAGCGTGGAAAAGCACGCTGACAAATGCCAATCTCCACGACCCATCCGAACTGCAAATGACGAGGCAAATTATCATACCATTACTTCAAGAACGATTCCTGGTGAAGTCTACAAGTGATCCCACAAGAAAATTGAATCTTTTGAAATTTTTAATCAATATAATGAACTACAGAACATTTCAGCCACGGAAATATTTTTCGAAATAGGAGCCTTGGATGAGGAGAAATCATCGCGGACTTTGTACCGGGGAAGATTTCACAATTAGACTGGGATTTTGGTAGAAATGACGGGACCTAATTTGAATCTTTTACGCAGTAAAAATAGGAAAGCCTGGATCGCTTCTGTTAGTGTTTCTACCGAAAAACGACCTCTTGTGGGGTGTAAGTTGAGTGTTTCCCCTGCAATAACAAAATTTAATACATCAGAATTTCATAACGGAACACAAGAGGGATGTTTCAAAAGTACCGCCTTACCTGAAAATCTACTTCCATACTTTCTGAAACAAGATTTCCCAACCCATTATGGGATCAAAATCATGATTCCAAGGAATCTCTCCTCATTTGCGAAGAATTTTCTTAAAATGAAATCCAGACTTCAGCAACTTCTTGGTCCCTATTCAATGCTTGAAGATTTTAGGACAACCTTTATAGTTGGCAAAAACAAAAATCCTTTTCTTTCAATTGATTCTCAGATCTAGTACATGCTCACGGATCAATGATTTTAAAATGTTGGTGCATTCTAGTCTGCCATTGATGCGATTGTGGCAGGTAAGATATACTGTAATTTTTTCAAAGATAAGATGCGAATTCCAACTCTTTTGATTTATACATTCTCCATTTGAATTTGAACGAGCAAAAATTAGATCCGGGGTACACAAATTATCAAAAATTTTTCGTCAAAATTACGTTGTCCGCGGGATTCCAGCGGATAAACTTCCTGGGTCTTGACGTCGAAGGATTCGAACAGTAAATACAGTACTAAAACCAATCCCTTGGAAGAAAATCCACATCTCGGTAATTTTTCACCCTGCACTACCGAATAAATTTATCGTGATAAAATCGAATCAACAGGTTGTCGCAATGGATGCATGACATGTGGAAAAAGGACCTGAAAGCACTCATCGACTACATGCTGAGCATCCAATTTTCCTTTCATTGCTCTCAAAAAAGTGGCGTGCTTTTAAAAAAAAAAAACCTTACAGATAATATCATCGAATTATGGACGATTAAGCAATACCCATTACATGTACAAATTAAGAATTCATAAATTGAATCACACATACAGATAAAACTCATTGCCCTTGCATTGCCACCTTCAACGCATTCAATTCTAATCACAACAACTCTTCGGTCGGAATGCGGAATCAAAATCATTAACTTGATTAATTATGACGTAGTAAAACTCCACCATAAGCGATCGAATAATTCTTGCCCATGACGAATTTTAGAAACGATCACGACTGACGGATCAACGCGTGACGCGATCACAGCACAATGCAAAATAATATCTTTGTCATTTAAACTCATCACAACCGCGGCGGTGAAAATTGCACGATTACGGCAAATCTGAAGTTGACGGGTTACGTTCCGTCTGATCATTTGCCGTCAAATCAAGAATTTCTTCCTCGTCTTCACTTTCCAGACACGGAGAAGTTCTCACCGCCTGGTACCATTTGTCAGTTAATTGCACCATCTGTGATCTGCACTCTTTCAATTCCTGTGATCAGAATGGAATGGCATGTCAGATCGCATGTTGATATGAAATCCATTGTTGAATTTTGGAATGATTTTATTTAAAGCGACAAGCTTCAAATAATTTTTTCCGCTAACACGAACAGCTTGCTCCAGACACCACACCAATATTCTCTGAATTTTACTCACGGTCCCTTGAGCATGTTTGTAGCAAGAAGTGCACCATGTTATACAGTACATACATAAAAAATTAGTCTGTTAAAGCATTAAACCCATCCAAACATGGCATCCTTGATGAATCCATGCATTAAAAAATTTAAATTTCCAGCAATGGTCAAAATCAGCCAGGTACACAATTTTTGGAAGGGTACATGAGGATTCAGACCGGCATACAGATCTAAGCTAAGGGACACTATTTTCACTGAGATCTGAACTTGCGGCTCTTAAATTCTTAAGCTGATTAATAAAAAAAAGAAGGCAGAACACACCTGTTTTGTATAGTGTCTAGTAAAAAACGGCATCAGGAATTCCTTGTCAAGTTTTAGAAATGCGGGTAAGCGCGTTACGGGGACATCGGATGCACGTCGAGAATCACCACGTTGGTCATCCTCAGTGTACTCGGAGAAGTATTCTGAGTCCAAAGCATGGCCCTGATAGTTGCAAATAAACGTCTTTGAAATAAAAACGTCGATCACATTCAAGTACCTACGACTTACAATTTCTCTCGTCTTCGACAAAGAAACTCCACCCTCTTTAGCTGTACCAGTTGTCCTCCGTCGTCGCCGTCGCTTCTTTTCAGTTTTTCCCGATTCCAAGAACTAAAAAAAAGTGACCATATCACGCAATTTAATACTTTTTCCGAAATTTGAACTGTACCTTCAATAGGGGCATGGTCCCGCCACCAAGAAACAGGATGGTGAAGAGTATGATGATCAAGGTGGTGCTGACTAAGACACGTTTAGTTCCTGCATCGATCTCCAAATGCAACGCCAAAGCATACGCAATAGCTCCACGCAAACCTAGAGAAAAATCATGAGTTTTGTGTCACTGGGAAATACAAAAAAAATAGTAAATGATCACTTGCCACTGAACCACATTACAAACATCATTTTGGGTGTGATTTTGTGGTCCCGAAATTTGTTGAGCATAAAGGCAAGCGGAAAAACGTTGCATGCCCGTCCGAGCAAGGTCAAAATTAAACTCCACACCACAAAACCAGGTTTAACGTCGTGATCAAAGCTAAAGATGGCCAACCCAAGATACGCAAATACACAGGTTTCTGCAAAACAAAGACCTTCAGTCAAATGCAACAATGAGAGAATTGCCATCAATGTTAACTCACCAGCAATGAAAGCAATTGTTCTCAGCAACAACTGCATTGAAATTTGCGTCACAGGTGACAAGTTGAAGTGGGTATAATGGGACATCACGACTCCACAGAATAGAATCGCCATAATGCCTTCAGTAGAAGAAGCAAAGGAAAAAATAAATTAGACTATGCAAAGGTGAACAAAAAAACCTTTACAGTCCATATCCAGACCTGACAAGTGCACGCCCTCCGCAAGTCCGTATGGCGCGTAACAAAAGAGAAGCATCATCGCCAACTCCAAAGAAGGATGAGCTTTCAAGTCAACATGCTTCAACAAGTGAAACAAAATCCATCAAGGAGAAATCGCTGCGCAGATTTAAACAGGTTCATCAAATTTACAAGGGATACGTCAAAAGCTCGCGGTCGCATATTTGCAAGCGACTGCAGCGAATTTTGAACTGATGTCAGTACTTCTAATTTTCTCTTCGATCATCCAAGAGTGCAGTGAAAAGCGTAAAAAATACAGATAGACTCTCTCTACAACGATCTTGTCTACAAAATTTTTCTCAGAACAACGAAATTCGTCTGACGGTTCTCTCCCCATGTTACACAGGGTTTCTTTACAACAAATTTCCTTTAGTTCCTTATTCAATTTTGTTGTACTGAGAGTTCATCTTCACGATGAATAATTATCTTCAGGGAAAAAAAAAAAAAAAAAAAAAACGCTTGACGAGTGTGAGGTGATTTTTCCCATAATATTAAGCAAACAATATGCCAACACACGGAGAACGACTGCAAACTTCCGTTTAATCCTGCGTAAATTATGAAACTATAGTACAGTAATGAAAAGGATATCAGAGATGACACCAGGGCGAACGCCACGCCAATGGCAGCGGATCCGAAGAACATGCTGCAAAACCGCTTGAAACCGTACCACACGACTTCCGATACAGGGCTGTTGGCCAAAAGCGGGGATCTCACATCCAGAACCGTGCTACACAAAAAGAGTACAGTATTTTGAAAAAGGAACTTAAGCGTCCTCCGATTCCACCTTACTTGGTCAAGACAATAGCTACGGCGTCATTCAATATGCTTTCACCGAATACCAACATGTTGAGGACAGGGTCCACATCCAAAGCATGAAAAATTGCCAAAGTAGCAACTGGATCTACCGCAGAAATTAGGGAGCCAAAAGCTAGACTACTCGTGAATTCCAGCTGATAGCTGATATTCGCCTGAGAAAAAATGGATTTTTTCAGCCAACAATTCTGAATGCGGCCACTATAAGATATTGTATTATACTCACAAGTCCGACGAGATACAATCCACAGCCAATGACGAGCGCTGAAATAGTTGTTCCCACGCAGGCGAAAATCAGTATTGAGCCAATATTTTGAAAAAAGTTTCCCTTATGCAAGTTATACCCAGATTCAAAGATGATCGGCGGTAGAAGTACCAAGAAAAACACATTCGGCTTAAACGATTCCTCTTCCTGCAAATTTCAAGCTCACAGCAAACAACATGCCTTCAATGGCTTAGCAATTCTCATTTATACCTGCCAACTTCCAGCATGATTATTGGACAAGATTTTCATGACCAAGCCCACTGACGCTCCCAGAAAAACGATCACCACACTTTCCGGCAAGTACTGGAATTTTGTTTGTAGCATAAAATGGATCAACAGAATGCACAGACCTAAATGAGAAGTTGAACCATGCGAAGTGATTCAGGAAACTAATCCTCAGAAAATGCCAACTTACCAACAACGCACAGCACAAAGAATATGGCCATCGAGGAATGTCTTTCCTCTTCCGCAGCTCCTTTCGCAGGTAAACCCACATCTTTAGGGCTGGCACTGGATACTATTGACGCGGTTGTCGAGCTGACAGCGGGAACTGCAGTCACATTCGAGGCGACCGAGCTCTGAGACAGACTGCAGGAAAATTCCAGATCGAAGGATCCGTCATACCCATGAGGAAAATTGGGAAAAAAGTAAATCTCTCACGGAAGTATTGATGTAAAATTCGGTGCTGTCGACACCAAAGAAGTTCCATTCAAGCTGACGTCGCCAGAAGCATCAATACTAAAGAAAACATTTGCAACTATCGCGAATGTGAGAACACACGCGACAAACTTATGGAACTCCATAAATCCCACCGTCTCCTGTATGAAAAGACGCGCACATTACTTAAAAAATCGCAGCGATTGATCTGAACATAATCTGTCAAAGCTGTGACCCATCAAAATTTTCTACTCAGTGCATATATCGATGTTTGCCACGATGCTCGTTGAAACAACGCTACAAACGCGAACTTTTGAAATAGAAAAATTCACGCATGAATTTCGTCACTCGAAACCAAAAAATACAGCGAGCAAAAAAGCTGTTCACAGAATCACAAATTGGAAGCAAAATCGTGTCAAGAATCAAAAAATCCGTAGAAGCAATGAATAACAGCCAAAATCGCTCAAATGTGGATAGGATATTCGAAAGACCAGTACAATTTTCCAGGATTTGATAAATTTATGTACAGTATACATACGTCACAAGAAGAAAAGCTGTAGACAAGGACCGTAGCGTCAAACTGAACATATGGTCTCCCTAAACTAATTTCAGCAGCTCCCGGATCATGTTACCGATACCATCGTAAACCACATGAAATTGCTGCGTATCGAACATGAACGCGGGTGTGGTAACTATCTTCTGGCGCTGATCCACGCACACTCCATGAACATCCTAGAAAATTTCCCGGAATATCGTTAAATATAGAATATTAACGCATTTCAGAAGATCATATAACATGCCTGTGATACATGAGTAACACCCCATGACTTCACTGCCTCAATCGCCCCACAATGAGGCCATTCGCCGGACCCAGTATCTGAAACGTAAAACGCAAAAGCCATGCATTCCAGATTCTTCGTTAACAGCATCATATGACGAAAAATCACCTGGTAACCCTAAGGTAATCTCACACTTCTTCAAGACACGAGCTGCGAGTACAGGAGCAATACAACAAAAAGCCATGGGTTTCCCTTTGGCATGACTTTCTTTGATCACCTTCTCTACTTCTGCGATAACTTGACAATTGACACCTTCCGTGGCAAAGTTGGACCTTAAAATGTGGAATAAATATTTCATAAAATGGCTCACGAGAAATTTACATGAAATCTAACAGGTTTTTTGCCACGCCAAAGCCACCTGGAAAAACCAGCGCGTCCACACTGTCAACAGAAAGCAATGACAACGATTCAATTTTTCCTCGCGCAATCCGGGCGGATTCCGCAAGAACATTCCGGGTTTCATTCTCCGCTGGTAAGCCCTGAAAATTTTTTTCGAATTATTAAGATGAACCATTGCATCACGAACGGAAAAAATTAGGCAGTTTTTAAAAAATTGCAAGCTAAGTTAGCTGGAAATAAGGGTAAGACGGCTTTAAATCTTAATTCAAGATTATGAGTCTCGCCCAGCCTCACATCATATGAATCCTTTGCCCATTATATTGTGAACTGTATGACCTCAAGATACCCGCAAGGATGATACAGTACATTTGAAACACTGCGTTTCACGAGCGAAGTAACCATTCAAGGGTTGGACTTGTTTGAGTTCTAAACCATGTCCGATTAACGTTATTCATTACAAGAGGAAAACGATTCATTCACCTTAGCATGATTTATTACATGCATTTGCTTCAAATCAGGGGCGAACAGGAGTGGTTTCGCACCGCCACGCGTCAAATGCACGAGACAAGCAGATGCCTCGTGTATTTCTGAACCATCAAAAACACCGCTCCCTGATAACACCTTAAAAGACAACTCGGATAATGACTTGAAATTTAAACGAATGAGTGAATTTCAACAGACCACAGCAACTACAGGATTTTCCGGCGACGGACGAATGGGTGAACTTGATAAATTTCGCTGAATTCCTGCTTTCAAGAAAGAACGAAAAACATCCGCTCGCTTGTACGTCAAACGAAGGGCACTGGTCGCCATGACGTTTTTCACGATCCTGAACGAGTGGAATCAGAACTCAAGCAGTAGCCGAAAACGTGGAAGATAGAAATTCAACCAGACATGTTTGAATAAAAGAAAACTTTGTTCTCAGAACACATAAATGGAGTCAAATGGACAGGATATTTGAAAAAATCGTTTTTCCGGTCAACAAATTCGTCAAATTTTCATTAAACGCCGACACAAAGCATTCTTCCTTCGAAAAATTAAAAAAAATCTTACACGCGAAACTATGAAACGAAAGCATAGCATGATCACAGTTAATTAAATCAGCATCGCACTGAAAAATATTCATCGGGATCGACCCGGACGACCTCGCGATCCACTGCGAATACCTTTAGGTTTCGGGGGCGGCGACTTCGGCCGTAGAGACTCAATTTTATCCGAGCATCCAGTCGTAGTCGAATCAGCGAAGTAGCTGGAATACGTCGCTTTACTAAAGTTTGAATTTGTCAAGTCTGGTCCAACAGTCAGCCAACCCGGTCTGATAGTACTATCACGTCCGAATAAGTGCAGCCTGAAATCATACCGAGACAATATTACACAAGCCCAAACCGTCCCACGAATATATAATAGAAGTATAGAACAGTCCGGTACAGTAAATTGAAAAAAACATACTTCGCACCAGAGAATGAATGCTCCGAACGTAATGAATGTGCATTTTGACTAGTGATAGAGTGAGAAACAAATTTAATTTGCGAACAGCTGAAAATAATCACAAAATGTTCCTAACGTGAAACAGTTTTACCTACTTCACTTCTAACACCATACGAAGCCTAAAAAAAGGACGACGAAATATTTCATCAAATAAAAATATTGGTAATTAGTTTTTCGCTTGGTTTTGATTTATTTCATTTTGTTTTTGCCTTTGGCCTGTGAGCTCTTATTTTTGCTTCTGGTCTTGGAAGTTGTTTCTGCCACAGTCGAAGCACGATTGAAGAGAATCGAACAATACACAAATCAGAGCCTCGAGTAAACTCATCCAGGGGTTTTGGTAAACGGCTGATTAAATCTTGGAATAGCTATGAAAGTTTGATTGCACACAATCAAATTTAAGCTCACCTCCGAGTACCCAAGCAAAAGCGCTCGATAATGGAAAAAATCTCGGCAGGCTTCTCAATGGATCCGAATTCGGGTTCCTCGGTGATTATAAGATCGATGTCGACATTCGCATGGATGAAATCCCCGTCGGTCGAGCGTCGCACAGTTCCTTTGATCCCCATCAAACAATGCTCTTTGGTTCGCTGGAACACAGCCTTCGGTTCTACATTTTTTGAACTCCCTGGGTTGCCGATATTTGTTCTGATCCAACAAATATCTTCGCATCTCCGGAACCCCCATCGTCGAAGACACATACGTCCATGGTCAAGGCCGTCGCTCGACCCACACCAAAGAAATACGAAGCCCCGTAAATCCGTTACACTTCCGATGTCCAATCCCATGATCTAAAGAAATCATGGATGATGATAATTTGGTCAAAATAAAATGTAAGAGCAAGACGTGCACTTCGATTAAAGGCGTCTACCTTTCCAAAAACGGGGAATGCGTCAAAAGACATGCTGTATTAGGCCAGATTATTTTACAGGTCTATTAACATAGACTTCGACTCTCCGAACAATTACTTTGAAAATTACTGAACTGCTGTACAGCGATGTACAGCTTGTTTACAAGCAGCTCACAGCACATGAATAAAAATAATCACGCATTCTGTAATTGTATCACAATATGTGGTTCAACTTATCAAGTAACACTCCGATCATTCAAAGAGGCGTTTCTACAAAACCGTCAAATATCAATTATCTTTGATATGTTTCTTCTCTTCAAAATTATCAATTAGGAGCATATAGAAGCCATTTTTCACATAATTTCGTGCCTGCAGAGGAAAACCGGTTTCTAGAACGACGTCTTTGAAACAAATAGCTTGAACTCTTAGATCTGCTTCCCAGAAATCCTATAAAAATAAATTACTGTAGTTGAACTTTTCGGAAATGAAAAACAAACAAAAATAAAGCCTACCTGATCCCAGGTCCAGAAGTTCATATTCGACACCCCGCGGCTCCTTTGGTATTCCTCCAACGGAGGCTCAATCAGAACAACATCAAAGGAAGTTCCCAGATCACGAAGATTAAATTTCATCAAGTCCGTTTTGAGATACATCGGAGCACAGGCCGTTTCAGCAATGAGGTCATCCTGAGAATATGAAACTTAATTTTACTCCTGTTCGCAGGAGAAGAAACAATATTATAGAGGCAAACCTTCAGTCGTATCAATTCCTTGAGTTTGGGATACTCTTCGAATCGTTCGGCCAGGGCCACGTCTCTAATAAAGTTCTGCGGTCTTTGTCCAGTATCCAAAAAATGCTGACAATAGTCGTTGTGAGGATTCGCGGATTGCGTTCCCTGGTGATTCAAGATATGGAAGGTTGAGCATTGAGCGGTAGCAAGACATTACCCGCAGAATATTTGCACCCTTGAATTGCAAAACATAACCAAGGGCAGCAGTGGACTCAACCGCAGTTCACTGCACATCCGAATTAGTCAAGAACCAACAAACCTTTAGAAATGTAGATGAGTCCGTGTACACCATTTCTTTGGCTGGTTGAGACTGCTCTTCGTCGACAGTTCTGACGACACAATGATAAACATCAGAGGCACCGAAGTTGACGTGAGACCTCGACATCAAGTCCCGTGTTGAATTTTTCGACCTACCCAACTCCCTGGCTAGATTATCAGGTGACCCGATTCCTAGCTACGTAAAAAAACAGAAAAAAGGTATGATGTCACCGGGTGAAAATGCGTCAAAACTTCGAGATTAAAAAAATTTCTTACCTGACGCGCAATCAATCTTTTGCGTTTCTGAGACTGCTCTCGTCGAACCTTCAGCCAGTCCCCCATTGCTCTGGCAATTCTGCTCTACTTTTTCTTCACCTCGATACTAAAACGCGGACTAATAGAAGCTTGGAACTAAAATCTCGTTTAGCATTTTCTTCGTCCCTCAGCAGCACATCCGCGGCACAGAATAAATCACCAGGAATGAGCATCTCATTGCCTAGAACGACGAACTTTTCGTGATCATATGATACGGAAAACCTATATTCAAAAGTCTAAATCGACTAAAAAATTGATACAGAATCTTTCCGAGTGCTTTTCCGTTTTCTTAAAAATCCACGTCGTCCCCAAGATGCCGAAAGCAGCAAAAGCTATACACGTTTCTCTCTTCTTCCGAAGAAAACAAAACATCGAATACAGGGATCATCTGAAACAAAAACCCGCGCTTCAACGCGACATGAAAAGCAGGTCTATCACACGCAGTAAATCTTATCACCCTTACATTGCTCCAAAAAAAAGTCAAGCCGAACGGATATTTGAGAGATTGAACCGATGGTTTGTCCGCGACGGTGGAAACACATGAAAGTCAATACTGTCGATGCTCATATGCAAATCATATAAAAATTCGCCATGATCCCATACGAAAAAGAATTACCGCAATTTGGAAGTTATTCAGTTCCGACACCCACCCCTCGGACAAGTTCAGTTGCATCGGCGAAAAATACACGCATCAACATTCAACCCGTCACGGAAAACCGAGATTTGAAGGCACCCCCATTTAGACCTCAGCCCACATTCGAGATAACATAAATCCTGTTTTCCTAATCTTAAGCTCTCAATGATTTTACAGATTTGAATGCCTTCGGAATACCACTTTCAATCTAAATAAATACAAAAAATGTCAAGTCTTTCGCTCTTTACTCAGCTCTTCTTGCAAACTATGCTTGCGAGATTCCAACGCTGGAAATCGCTTAGCAACAATTCTTTCTCCCCTATTTCCAGGTGACAGGCATAAAGCTATTCTCCTCAAAAATCCTAAACGGACATCCTAAAGGGTATTTAAAAACCGTAAAGAAATAACAGATTTTAAATTCATCCGAATGCCACAATTTTACGGAGAATAACTCGATTGGCACTCGACAGAACTTATGTTTCAGACAGAGTCGCGCAAATGCTGAAACTCATAAGAAATCTTCACCCGACAGCTCTAGAAATTCCGAAAGCTTCGTATGAAATACAAAGCTATTGATTCATTGCCCCCAAAAAGCACTCGCAGAAATAAAACAATTCATCACATAGATTGACATTTCGAGCTCGAATCACTCTTCCAAGCACACAGACGCGATGAGATGCCCCTACCAGCAGGAAATAAAACAAAGCTTCAGACATTTCGGATGCCTTCCATTGTTAAAATCAGCCCTAACCTACAAAAATATCTGTAACACCAAGCTTCACTCATTCTTTCGCTATCAAGCTGAACAAAACGGAACTCTCAGAACGATTTTCTCTGAAACAGGATCGTATTCTCCCGCGCAAAAGTACACGTCCGATGGTTCAACCTGTGCGGATTTAGCCAGAAACATGGCACCGTCTCGGTTACGAGCTTTCTTGTATTCTTCGTGAGAGACCACGATGCATTTCCGAGCAATCGATCGCACATCATTTTCATCCGTATGGGTAGACGAAAACAACCCATTCTGAAAGCGGTTTTAAATTACTTAAATTTCATAGAAACGAGTCGAAGATTAAATTGGTCAGCGGGAGTGCGAGAAGAAAACCCAACTTTCAAGGAAGTGCTCTCATCGAGCATTCAAGCAGAGGCAAACGAACAGAGAAGAAAGATACTCACGTGAGGAATTGAACTGGCCAGACCTTTGGTTTCATCGGGTCGATAAAACCAACTCACGCGCACCGACATTGAGCGTTTTCCACAGGCTTCCCAGAATTGCAAGATCCGGCCAATATACGGCCGCGAATCAGGATCACCGGTGCGAAACACAGCACAATCACCAACGCGAATGCGTTCTTCCGAGCCACGACAGATTTCTTCATGGAAAATCCGTTTCTTGCGACCAAGTTTAAATCTTTTAAACGCGTTAGACTCATCAGACCATTCCCATATTTTGACATCCGAGCTGTCACCGTCGAATTCGTCAGCGCTACAAACACCATGGCCGTTTTCAATCTTCACTTCAGCCTCACAAAATGAATCGCCATTTTCGAGGGTTGAAGGTTTTAGATCCATCTGCGAACGGACAGCGTCCACGGAAACCAGATGATCAGCGGACCACGATTCCATACTCATGTCGGAATTCTTGGACAAATCGAAATGAAATTTAACCAAGTGTCACGAAATTTTAAGCTACGAGCTTCTTGCGGTTTTCCATACAAATGATCGAGAATGAGTAAGGCTAGCCTATGAAAAGTCACTTAAAACACAGCGCTTGAAGTTATTAACGCAGATTTTCTTTCGATTGCTCAACGAAGGAATTGTACCCACGAAACGAAAAATGCAGACGCACTCACATCATGCAAATTAGATTCCAGAGGGGGAGTCACCGGCAAATTCAGCCGACTAGAAGAACTTGTACGACGACGCTTCCTTGGATTTGTCACCGGATTTGACACTTGGACTGTCCACGAGGAATTAGAGTCACGCGGATTTCGCCAACTATCGATTTACTCACCCATGATCGGATAATCAGCCGGTAGCAGACGAACATCCTTCAAAGGAATGCTTCCGGAGTCACCGTCATCAAAATCGACCCATACTTCTCCATCTTTAGGAGGTGACGACACTGTGCCAGGGAACAATCCACCAACTTGGCGACTCCACTTGGCGCAAACACGAGATCCTTGCCGAATTGTATCTTCGGTTGCAACAACTTCCATCAGCTAAACGCAAGAGTGGAGTTGAAATCTAGCACAATGTTCAAAAACCGGTAATTGCGACATACCAGAATATCCGTGACTTCATCAATTGATAAGAATCTATCCCTGTTGCTTCTCTCTCTATGCAACCGAAGCCTAAAATACATGGGGACTTCAACCGCTTCAATATATCCAGTCCCAAACGATTCGACATCAAAAAACAGAACACCCATTCGATCGCAATCCTTGAGATCTGCCTCAGTAATGCGAGGTTTTAATGGAATTGACGTACGATCGGTCAAATCATCGTTGACTTCTCGCTTAACGACCATTTCCTCTTTTACACTATGTGCATCCAAGATGTGTTTTCCTTGGACGTCTAATGAAATACCGAAGTTCTGAGGAATCAGCTTCTGCTCGACATAATCCGGAGAAGGTTCCGTTGGTGTGTAGCCGGTTTTCATGGGTGGATCCGGCTCCCGTATTTTTGCCTCAGCTTTCAACTTCGGTTTGATTTTTCGCCGATGTGGCAAAGGTGATTCAGATCGTTCACGGGTTTCTTCCCGTGGTGGTTCTTCGATAGACTTTATACTCGGTAAAACCAGAACGTTTGATGCGACTTTCTTGACTTGAGGAGCGGATTTCCGACGACATCGTGGAACACGGCGCACACTAGTCTTCCGCCTTCCAACAGGCAACGCCGTGAATTCTGCTCGGATTTCATCTATTCTTTTCCACAGTTCTCGGATAGCAAGCAGAATACTCAGCTCTTCTTCGGACAATTCCGACAGGTCATCATTGAAAAACGGCTCTTCAACCGGGAACGGATTTTCTGAATGTTGCCGTGCTTTCCGTTTGATAAAAGCCTGTACTTCTGCTTGCGAAGCTTCACTTCGATGTCTTCTCGCAACTGAACCAATCATCCTGTCACGATTCCTTTCTTGTTCGTTCAGACGCTTCAAGTAAACGTCCGCAACAATGCAGAGAAATTCCAGGCCAACTGGCATCCGTCGACCAGTCGAAGAGGAAAATTCTGCGACAATTTCCCTCTCGATGGCCCTCCGATAGCCTGCCCAACGCGCTAAAAGGTCGAGGTTCATGGCATTTTCGGGAAGAATATATTTTGAGTGAACATCTGCATTCTGAAAATGATGCTCAACAACGAAATTTTTCTCAGTGTTGTTGTTCTCATCATCACCGATTGCAGGTGCTCCTACAGAAGGCTTCAGCTCAACATCTTCTGGCGACTTTACTGGCTTGCTTATGAAGGCTGAAACCACCTGTGGTTATACAAGCTCGAATTATAAATCCGTTGGCTTCAATATGCAGAAAAATTGAATGCTCACAATTCGACTTACGTCACTTTTCAAACTGAGATCGAGTGGCTTCGATTCCATCAAAGCTGAGGATTGAAAGTCAGCTGAAAATTCACGAGATACATCATCAGAATCATCCGCAGCAACGGACAGGTCTGATTCGATAACACGCGAGTGAAGTGACTTATTTCGTAGAGAAGTAGAACCATTCGAGTCACAGTCACGCATCCATGACGGTTTCCAAGATGTTACAGGGTGCAATGCATCGAAACCTACCGGCTTCATCGCAGGTCGACGAACACACTTGCGCGTACGTTCGCCGAGTAAAGCACATGATAACGATGACATATTTTTCGTCATGGAAAATTCAATCGCATCTTGGAGTCGTTCGACGGATGTCAATGATGACTCAGTCGTCATAGTCGGGCTTCAGCATTAATTTGTGAAAAAACTGAACAGACTCACGGGTTTGAGTCAAGAAACATACGAATTCGGATGCACTTGAACGCACACACAAATACAAAAAATTTAATCGCTTCTCATTCCTTCCACAAACGCGAAGATTCCAAACTTTTAGCAGTGTATTAGATATCTGTAAAATATGATAATATATTAACGGCATTCGGCAAGTCAAAAACAACAATAAATCATGATTAACACCATCGACGCAATTAGAATTCCGCGATATCGGATCAGGAACAAAATTGGAGGAATGCCAAGATACGGGTACTATTCATACGCTTCGAAAAATACTTGAATGATTTATGAGTTCAATGATTTCCATTCACAATTTAAAAATTCCAGTTCGAACCGTAAGCTCGGCACGGTTTACCCTGGCTTCCACCTCATTGAGCTCAGAACAAAGCTGATTCACTCGATCTTCAATGCGATCAATAATTTCGAAGTGTGACTCAAGCTTGGTGGTCACGCTTGCCCTTGCATTAGGCATAGCTCGAGCTCTGCATCGCGATGAATCTTCCCGAATCAATTCAGCCAATTTCTCAATCTCCGCTAATCTTGATAAAATATCTTCAACCGCAACCTCAGACTCGTCAACGCCGGCTTGCACATCCGCACACACGCCTTCCGCTATGTCAGCAGAAAATTTAGCAAGGGTCTCATCCATCGCAAAACCTTGGTGAGAAGAGCACAAAGCAAAGACTGGATCTCTCTTTGTGAAAAAGAAAATTTCTAGAAACCAGAAATGAATTTGTAAAATGTATATGAGGAAATCACAGTGCTTGAATCACGTTTCACACAAGCAATTAACGATAATGCTCGAGGAACCCATTCGGCAAGACAACACACGTGATTCATTAACATGGCAACGTATGTAGAACTCCAACCTAATGTAAACAAACCTGTACGCAACACCGTACGCTTAAATCACTGCAGTGACTGTTACATTCGTTGAACATCGTGATTTTACGCGGATCTTCCGAGACACTCTTCTTTCCTTCTCTCTGTCTCTCCCGGTCATCTACGTCGGTTGCGGCATTTAAATGCGCGTGTCAAGTTGAGCTTCTTTGGGAAGTTTCGGAATTCAATCAGTCAAGCGTTTAAAATTTTTCAAAATAGCAAGAAAAACTTTCTCAAGATTTGATATTGTGTACCTCGGAATTTATAATCGCCGTATTAATCAAATTAGCCCAATGATCGGGCCAGCAACACCAGGGCTCTTATTGAATGATAGAACTCTATGCTGCCGGGAAAGACCGAACATTGGGGTGAGGCCCCATCTCGCCAGAGCAGAACTCTTGGTCGTCTAAACTCATTGCCACTGCGCCCGCATCCCCTCACGCTCTGCAGCCAACACTCTCTCTCCTGTGGTCGCGCATGAGTGACTTCAAGACTCGGGAATAAATCCCTTATGCAGGAAGTGGTGTAGCATGGACTCCATGTGAGAAAAAATTATTTCTCCATATATTTGGGAAATTAAATTATGGGATGTTCCATGGGTCTTTTAGATGTCAGGCATATTTTTTTAAATGTGGTTTGACAATAAGTGCATTTGACAAGTTGTATTCAATTGTGGGTTTGACAACTCCCCCTTCCCCCTGCCTCACTCCCTGAACCCATCACTCTCTCTTTGAAGAAAAATCATGAGAGACTTCAGAAGGCCTGTTTGAATAGGTATAAACAGTATAGTAGGAGAAGTACTATCAACAAATATAATTAATATTCATTTTTATAAACCTTATGGCTTTACTGAAGGTTCTCTTTTCATTACTCTGATTATAAAAGTTGAGTGGCATGATGAATTGTCTGAATTAAATTTGCTATTAAAGGGTTCTTATATTTTATTTATTTGCATTCATTCTCAATGCTGCCCTTCCTATGGACTGCCCTTCCTAGTATTTCTATGGACATTTGAAATTGTTTCTAACAATTCAAACTAGAAATTTGTATGATATAAATGCATACCTTATGAAGTTTTCCAAATATCATTTGTTTGATGTAAAATATTCATGATTTATATTGAGTTCACACCATGCATGATTTCAGTTCATAATTACTAATATTGCTTCATTGATTGATTCCTTGTTTTCCAGTGATGACTTCTGCAAATTATCAGTATTGGTACAGTACAGTATTTATGAAATGGAATAAATCCTGTATATGTATGAGTCCTACACCATTTCTTCCCAAAACAGCCAGGCTCCATACTTTCTGAAGTTGCTCAAGCATGCGCACAAGAGAGGGACTGCAGCTGCTTGGGGAGTGAGGCAGGGGGAAGGGGGAGCAGGGTAAATTTGGCAGCTCACATGTGAGCTCCAGCAAGAAGTCCACTCATGATGATATTGTAGGCATAAAATTGCTTCCTATAAATTAGTTGACAGGATGCAGAACTTGGAGGCAAAGGTTCATTTGCCTCATAGATCCTGCACTTCCTTTCAAAATTTAGTAGAAGTACATTTTTATGGCTTTCATTTGGCATTGTAACATTTTTATGTCTGTCATATTTCCTGTGATAATAGAATAAATGGACTCCAGAATCCAATGTATGGAGGTTTGAGGGGAAAGTGTGAGAGTCAGGGAGGTTGTAATACATGTTGCTTCTAATGAATTTCAGACATAGACTTGAAAATATTTTGACTTCAGGAAATTCCAAGTACCAGTTAGCCCTATAGTCCCAGTTTAAATTGCAAGGGGTCTAACCAGTGCTTGTACCTCATGCAAAAGTGACATCTATGCATAGTCATAACAGAGGATTTACTCCTACTTTGCTCATAGATGTTGCATATGCATAAAGTACAAGTGGTATAGTTTCTATATGTCATTCAGAATGGAGAGCTGATTTAAATAGGAAGATCTTCAGAAGAAACTTCAGGTGTTTTAATGTATTTTTCTTTGAATTTCTTAAAATTCAGGCAATTTTTATCATTTTAGCAATAGATTTAATTTACAGGAACCAATTAGTGGATTTTACATTGGTCCTCAAGGGAAAAAAATTATTTACCCTACAAATAATGTTCCATCTAGCAAACGCAGTCCTTGAACTGCATACTTGTGTTTGCTAGGCCAGTCACCAATGTGTAGATTTTTTAAAATTTTGCAATCCTAGCAAATAATCCAGGTGTATGCAAGCAGTAAAAGCAGGCATGAGAGTACACATGTTTTCAACCAATAACATATGCAGATTGCATGTTACAAATTTTTATTTGTGTCAGGTTTCCTCAGATTTATTCTTAAACTATTATTGCTCCAGTTGGCTGATTTTTTAAAATTTACAGAGGCCTATTAATCCAATGGTGAACCCATAATGCTGCAGCATCATTAGCACCTGCTTTAATCTGGCCCTGCCTCAAGGTACTTCTATGATGAGGATGTACTTGTTCAATCAAATTGTCAAACTGTCCTCACAGTAAGTCAAGTTATGAGCTCCATCTGTATCAACTTCTCAAACCACAGTTCAGGAAGGTTTGAACTTTCAAATCTGATCAGTGCAGAAGCTGGAGGTTAAAACTTTGTAATACAGTGGCCCCCCGCCTAACAGACCTCCCGTGTAAGGGATTTTCGCCTAACAGACCAGAAGTTATGAGCTTCATCTGTATCAACTTTTCAAACCACAGTTCAGGAAGGTTTGCACTTTCAAATCTGATCAGTGCAGAAGCTGGAGGTTAAAACTTTGTAATACTTGAATGACAAAAAAGTGGACTCTTTTCTACTGTAAAGAAGTAGTCCTGTGAAACCTGTTATTCCAGTGTGAAAATCCTTACTAGACCTGGTGTCACAATAGTCCTGTGACACCACCCAGCGCACCGTAAACTCAAACCCTCAAGTCCATCACTAGTGTGCATGAAGGAGAGAGTGATGAGAATAGGGAGTGAGGGGATGGGGGGTGCAGTGGCCTAGAGTTTGGCCGACCAAGAGTTCTGCTCTGGCGAGAAACTACACCACCAAGAATGTGTACTGCCTGGTTTGTTGCAGTGGGTGCAATGGTTCGAGGCCAACCGATTTTGACCACGCGTCCTTCTTGGAAAACGTTGTATTTCTCCTTTTTTTATTGCTGTTAAAAAAGGGAAGAAGCGACTGTTCTCCGCGCAGTTATGATCTTGTGACGTGAAGCTTCTTTCAGTTTATTGAACCCGCAATTTCTTCGGTTTGCCGCAGGATTTGGAGACTGCAAGTACAAAATGAATGTTCTGTTGCTTTCCTGGATCGGAATTCTCTCGCTCTGCTTGAGTGGCAGTCTGAAAGGTAGGCAGAAGACTTACATTATGTCGGATGATTCGTAAAACTGAATTGCCGATTTCTGGAACGCTGATTGCACCAAGAAAAATGTTACATTATTGACCAGGATTTTTTGCTCAGGAGCTACTGCTATCAAATGTTACCAGTGCTCATCGGCAGAAGATGCCAAGGGTGAGGACTCTTGTGGAGTGTACGAAGGCTTTGACGAATCCAAGAATGATCCTGTTGAATGTACCAGCGATGAATCGGTTACTCCCGGAACGTTTTGTGTGAAAATTACGAAACAGAGTCCGCGTGGGTTCATATGTAAGTGAAGCATTTTCTCCATCTGGAAATATTTTTTTTATTTGTGTTTTATTCTTAGGGGATGGTCGTTGGCGTCAAGTTATTCGTCGTTGTGGATCAGTGTCCGAAGTTGGTGTGACTGGTGTTTGCAACTGGGGTCTAGATGAAAATTCAGTTTATTGGGAAGAGTGCTATTGCAGTGAAGATGCGTGTAACGCTACGTCTCGAATAGTGCTCAATAAGTCGGCTCTCACGTTCGCAGTAATCTCAGCTTTACTGATATTTTTTTAGAAGGAGAAACGTATGGCATATCATTTGTTACAAGCTGTTTTGTTCAGCCATGTAGTAACTGTGACTGCAAGGTCTGATGTTTGCATTATGAGCATATTTACATTGATTCCGTCCATGGATTTCGATCGCGTCCGGGGAATTTTTTTTTATATTTACACGGAGATTTTGCGTCAATACAAGTAACGGCTATTTACCTTAGTAATTCGCAGACTCCCAACCTGTTTTACGTTATTGGTTTTTTTTTTCATTTCAGGTCCCTTATGCGATGAAACTGCGAGTTGAGGTCATCAGCGCGTAATCAAAGAAATTGGCTGATGAAATGATCGGTGGAATGAGCGTTATCCATTGTGCGGTTCAATTGCATAGAAATCGTCAGCTTCCGAAATAAGCTGGTGGTTCGGTGTTGCAGTCGTGTTTTCCTCTTGTACGAACGGTTGCTTGTTTCGTTTTTAGGTGTGAAATTTTACTACCATCGCTCGATGGCCGTCTTCAGTTCTTTGAGGTCTTCTTCGAAAGTGCTGAACAGCGCCATTGTAAAGAAGTTTCTTCAGTCACCCCAGTGCTCAAAAGGTGGCGAAATCCAGAAGATCCTTTTCTAGCATGCTGTTCATAATTTCCTCGTTTGCAGATGTTCGTCGGAACAGTGGCCATCTTATGATAACTGCATCACGTTGGCAATGGACGAAGTCGAAAGATCTAATGCATTTTTACCTTTTCGTCGGTCTGATCCCTGTGACAATCGCCATAACGGCGCTCAACGTCTTCGTCGGCCCTGCGACACTTTCGGAAATCCCGGAAGATTATGAACCCGAGGAATACGAATATTACGAAAGTCCGGTGACCAGATTTTTGGTCAAGAACTTCGGCCGAACCTACCAGGAGGATTATGAGCGTACTCTTCACTTCGTCAACAGGATCCGGGATAGGGGCATGCTGCGGTAAGTTCAGCTTCTGCTTTTAAGGCGTGAATTTAGAGTAGCGCCTCATGTACTGTACAGTACTTGTATTCGTGTACAATCTATTCTGTACTGTACAGTTCATGGGCCCCTTAAACGTATTTGCGAGTTTTTCGAACCCTGGAAGTGGGCCTTTCAAGACATACTAAATTGGGAATATGGTGTGAATTGAATTAAGGGGTGTAAAATTCATGAAAATGTGGAGAATCCCTGATTTACGTAATGAAGTACTGTATCTCATTTGCCGATTGTTTGCCTTTTCAGAAAAACGCAAACGGAAGTGGAAGACTTTATGCAGCAGCGTAATGATTACAAAGCCTATTATTATCGGCCTGTGCTTGCGAAGTTCTGGCGAGCCACTCGAGAAGATGCAGAATTTGTTCATTTCGTCCGTGGAGAGCAGTGAGTTTGGTGCAATATTCTTGTTGGACGGCGTCGTCGAAGGTTTACCGTAGTTCCACGGTGAAGTGTCTTTCGCTGTGTTCCCTGTCCCATGTGCTTCTGGTACCTTGCTGGAGGATAGTAAAGTGTAACTCATGTATTTGTATTCGCGTCATCTTTTTCTTCGTGGGGAGCTGCTGTTATGATCTGCCGCATCAAGTCAAGTAAGGATATTATTCACTTCGGAAGAAAGGGCCGAGATGAACTCGATAAAAGGGATGTGAGGAAACAGCCTGGTGAACACGGCTGCCCTGCACCTGTAATTGATTTCTTCTCGATATATTTTCCATTCAACCATTTCACCAATGCTTCACATTATTCAGCAAATACTGTCTGGAAGAGCCCGGTATAAATGGAGTTCGTTTCGCAATTTTTCTTCGCCCTATCCTGAAATCCGGATTAACATCGCGCTCTGTGGACTGGTGCATCTTAAAACTTGAAGAAGGGTAGATATGGACAATTTTAAAAACTTTTTGAATTGAGCCTTAAAATGGTTCAGCTAACTTATGGAATTTTGCGTGCTAGCTTAGTGGGTCGACTGTAAATTGAATTCCTTGTTCATCTGCTTCACCCGATTATTTTCCGCTTGTTGAAATGAAAATCTTGGATAGATGATTCATACAAAGAAGATCACATTGCCCTGCGAACCTGCAGTATTTGACGGTGATCAGAAAAGGGGCTGAGAGAAAGTTAATGGAGTCATGTAGAATTATTATCTTCTGAGCTTTTTAAATTTATTTTCTACTGCTGCTCCCAATAATTGTATGTGGAAATTGTTTTTAGTCCTTGGAACGAATATTACACTGCAGGGTTAGTGCAATCCAATATTGTAGATGCGGTTTCAACTTCTTTATCATGAAAGTACACCATATGCAGACCTGAAATGTGTGTAAGAAAAAACTCCTAGTTTTCATAATAATCATGCGGAAGGGTTCCGTCCTGGGTTCACTATTTCACGATCCGTCGCAAATAACCGGTATATCGCGTGAGCCGTATCATTATTTTTATTTCATTACTGTCATTCATCATGCAGATTCATGGTGCAGGATTACCCGTGCTTCTCGATCGAATGCCCGACGATGCATACTTAATTCTAATGAAATTTCCATGTGCGGGAAACCCGGATGAATCCTAGTCGTCACGGTGCGTAGCGAGCTTTTTCAACCCCGACGACATGATCGACTTGTAGGCCAGCATTCCTATCGTAGAATCAGTGATGATAGAGTGAAAAGACGATACTCAGTCTGTCAGAAATTTTCCCGGATTATTCACCATTGAAGCTGTTGACGAATTCTGTCTAAGGGTTGACTGGAATCCCAGTTGAATCTTTTTTACCCCAGTGCCGATAGTGAGTTAAAATGTTCAGGCAGATGCAGTGGAGACATTTAGAAAATACTGTATGTGACTATTTTTCGCGTAATTATTTTACTTAATTTTGCTAGAAAGACTTTATTCTAGCTTCAGAAAATGTTGACTGTCTCAGGATCATGCCCATCTTATTACGTCAATTTTTTGTGCTTCAGACGAATGGCGTGGACGAGGCATCATTTTAATACAGTATAAAGTAAATTAAACTTACTTGTTTTTCAAATTAAGGCATTCAAAAGCTTTCTTGGACTCGTCTAAAATTAAAATCCTTCATTTAATAGAGATAATGTGACTGATGCTTAACCAAACTATTGCTGTCCCGCGAATTCTTCACCTTGTAGAGACTTTGATCCTTAAATTTGCCCGAATTGACGAATAAATTAAAATCACTGAAGTGTGCTTCGGACAAAAACAAAACGTTTGTTCAAGTGTACTAAGCATAGAAATGATACGGCGGCTGAGTCATCGAACACTCTTGGAGTGATTCACGCATCAATCATGCCAAGAGGAATCTGCCGCGAAACACGTATGTGATGGCGGTAATTTTGGCTTCATTGTCGGAAGAACTGTGCACGCGATATACCCGAGATCTTTAAATATTATACTGATGTGTATACATCATTTTGTGGAAACAAGCATTTTTCAATGTCTCACGCACCGCTGGCGGGCAAATGAGTTTTTCCTCGACAGTGAGAAGAAAACGTCGGACTATGTGTCGACGATCGTCCTTCTAAGGGATGCATGAGTCACGTACATCATCCCTCTCGACAATTCATAGGTGAGTGTACACTACTGGCGACAAAGGTGACGTGTTTCTTCCGTCCCTTACTGGGTACATTTACTTCAAGATAAAGGCGTCACGTCTACAGTTTTAGCAGGTTATTCGGGAAACGTAGGCGGGTTTTAGGCTGGGTGCGCCAAGCACAGGATCTCCAAATAAATATACTTCACAGTACAGTATTATCTTTTTACAAGAAAATGCCATCACTACAAACTTCCCAATTCCAGTGCAGTACAGAATAAAAAAAAATTTGAGGAAATTTTGATAGATTTTCCTGGAAAAAATTTCCTGACTAAAGCAGACACCGTCTGAAGTTTCCATTCCCATATGACTGCTGGTTCTTGTGACATGCACCAAAGCTGTAATTAATGACAAACATGCTTCCAAGTGGTTCAATGCATCATCAATTAAATTAAGAGATTGCTGGTGCAGCTGATGGAAGCTAATAAAAAAAAAAACAATTTTTCATCCAATGATAATCAAAACCTGAGAATGCCAGAAAGGCGAAATTTAATTGAATATAGGCAGGTCTAATACTAAATTGTTTTGTCATTAATTTTTAAAACCTTGCTGTTATAAAAAAAATTAATCAGCATAACAAACTGTTTCTGAAGTCCCTAAAATTTATGTGTAAGGAGATTTCACTGCCTATACCCGGGAAAAACGTGAAACTTGCTCGTTTGTGCGACTATTTGACTTGTATTGTACGGTATTTTCACAAATATAGACATCTTTTATCCAATCATGACTGCTCGAATTTTCTGGTTTTGGGTCTCCATCCAGCAGCGTGTGTTCGCAAATGATCCTGTTCACGTCGCCTTTATTGCTTCTACAGCAAAAAGCTTCAACTTTCTGAGTTCTCCGGAAGGAAGAAAGCGGACGGAAGCGTTGGCGAGACGCCGCGATCTTATCTCCACTGGCGTTATCTCCATTATGCCGGTGAAACTTTCTGTTCGAAAACGAGGTCCCAAAGATAAACCTGGGTTCGTATTTTTGGGCATCCTCATTTCATTGTTCTGCTGAAACCACACTATATATACAGATTGCAAGCTGAGCTGAAAGTGCGTTCAAGAAAAAAATCAAGATACCTTTTTTTACACAATGCGTACATAAACCCCGTATTTACATCATGTACGTATGTTGGATCACTGCATCCGTGAAAATAACTTTAAGGTTTGGTGAAGTTTAATTGGAATTGAGTGAATGAACGCTATTTGGTAGAAAATTTCGTCTTGCAGTTCGAATAGTGTACTGTGATGATTGTTCCACGGATTTCAAGTCTGGAGTACCACGGGAATTGAATTTACGAGACGCGCACCGCGATATTACGGAGAAAAATTCTTGAAAAAAACGTACGTCAACGCATATAAAACACGTGCCCACAATTTCTGAGACAAAAAATTGCAATAGATTCAATCACGAAAGTCAAATAAAGGTATCGAATTCAAAGTTTTTCTAACCCAGTGGTAATTCTTTTATTCGTCATCAGCATCATATTGAAGTTACTAGCCAATAATGCCTTGAAAATGTTGCCTCTGGAAAAAGATGCAGCAGGAAAAAAATGCATGTCAGCAGAAAAATCTAAAAAAAACTTCGAGAGCTAAAATTTTAAATCTTATACAGAGTTACTATAATTGTGCAGAATTTTTAATGAGCAGTGCTCTTACGATATGCATGCATGATCCGTATTCTCATCTCAAGTTCAAAAACTAAATTTTATCATGAGAACATTAATTTCAAGTATTCTTTTAGACGAAATAAGATGACAGGACAGAATATTCCTCACTGGATTAGAGTTTCAAATTTAAGCGGTCTGATCAGATCCCATCATTCAAGGTTTTATAAAGTTGATAGAATGTTACAAAGCATTGACAGATTTGCTTTAGTATGATCAAAAGGTAGTCTTTTACATTTTTCCACTAAATTTGGAGACAAGGAAGAGTTTACTCGAATTAAGCATAGAATTTATAGTTTTTGAACTATTAGTGAGCAAAATAATCACACATAACATTTAAAGAGAAAACACGGTTTATGCAGCATAACATTTAAAAGACCGATACGCGAAGTTACATTTATTCACCCATTTTATGAAGTTGAATCATTAAATTTGTTTTAATTTAAATCTAGTCCGATATCAGTGTGCTTCAGAGTTTATATTTTTCCAAAACTTTTTAGCAGTTAAAATATATGATGGATAAAACTTTTGAGAAAAACGTAAATGGTAATAAATTGAGAAGTCTTCAGTAATTTATTACTGAATTTATCCAAAACTTTATATTTTTCCAAAACTTTTTAGCACTTAAAATATATGATGGATAAAACTTTTGGGAAAACGTGAATGTAATAAATTACTGAAGACTTCTCAATTTATTACCATTTTACCTCAATTATCCTCAATTTATTACAGAGTTGCTTCAGAGTTTATATTTTTTCAAAACTTTTTAGCAGTTAAAATATATGATGGATAAAACTTTTGGGAAAAACGTGAATGCTTTAATTGAGAAGTCTTCAGTAATAATAAATCAGTAATAATAAATGGTAATAAATTGAGAAGTCTTCAGTAATAAATTACTGAAGACTTCTCAATTTATTACCATTCACGTTTTTCCCAAAAGTTTTATCCATCATATATTTTAACTGCTAAACAGTTTTGAAAAAAATATAAACTCTGAAGCAACTCTGTAATTCTCGAATTACAGTACTGCGTATGGAAATTTGTGGGATCTTATTGTTAGCTTTAGTCATGCTCTTCATTTTTTTTTTCAATGCGGCAATTTAGCTCTAGGCATTATCTGGGTACCTTTTTCTTAAATGCTTTTGGACATTGTAATAAAGTAAATTAATTAAGTGCTATACTGTAGTTTGTAGATTATGTTAGTAAGCAAGTACAGTAAAAATGAATCTCACATTCTCAGCAACTGAGGCGTCCGTCTGAAGATCAGGGATGAATTAAGAACAGTACCGTATTCATCCAATGAAGTTTTGACATTACAGTATTTAGTGACGTTCCTTCAAGAATACGAGTGCTGCACATTTCAAAGCAACAACCCCGCAAACTGAAAAATGGCTCAACGATTGATAAAACGCAGAATTTCACGATTTTCCCCGCCAAAATCGCTGAAAATGCAGTTCGTTGGACTGCATCCGTGAAAATAACTTTAAGGTTTGGTGAAGTTTAATTGGAATTGAGTGAATGAACGCTATTTGGTAGAAAATTTCGTCTTGCAGTTCGAATAGTGTACTGTGATGATTGTTCCACGGATTTCAAGTCTGGAGTACCACGGGAATTGAATTTACGAGACGCGCACCGCGATATTACGGAGAAAAATTCTTGAAAAAAAACGTACGTCAACGCATATAAAACACGTGCCCACAGTTTCTGAGACCAAAAATTGCAATAGATTCAATCACGAAAGTCAAATAAAGGTAGAATTCAATGTTTTTCTAAACCAGTGGCAATTCTTTTAGTAGTCATCAGCATCATATTAAAGTTACTAGCCAATAATACAGTACAGTACCTTGAAAATGTTGCCTCTGGAAAAAGATGCAGCGGGGAAAAAATACATGTCAGCAGAAAAATCTAGAAAAAAATTCGAGAGCTAAAATTTTAAATCTTATACAGAGTTACTATAATTGTGCAGCATTTTTAATGAGCAGTGCTCTTATTTGTAAGCATGTATGATCCGTATTCTCATTTCAAGTTCAAAAACTAACTTTTATCATGAGAAAATTAATTTCAAGTATTCTTTTACACGAAATAAGATGACAGGACAGAATATTCCTCTCCTGGATTAGAGTTTCAAATTTAAGCGGTCTGATCAGATCCCATCATTCAAGGTTTTATAAAAGTTGATAGAATGTTACAAAGCATTGACAGATTTGCTTTAGTATGATCAAAAGGTAGTCTTATTACATTTTCCACTTAATTTGGAGACAAGGAAGAGTTTACTCGAATTAAAGCTTAGAATTTATAGTTTTTGAACTTCAAGTGAGCAAAATAATCACACATAACATTTAAAGAGAATACACGGTTTATGCAGCATAACATTTAAAAGACCGATACGCGAAGTTACTTTCATTCACCCACTTTATAAAGTTGAATCATCAAATTTGTTTTAATTTACATCTAGTCCGATATCAGTGTGCTTCAGAGTTTACATTTTTCCAAAACTTTTTAGCAGTTAAAATATATGATGGATAAAACTTTTGGGAAAAACGTGAATGGTAATAAATTGATAAGTCTTTCGTGATTTAAAGTACTGTAATTCTCGAATTACAGTACTGCGTATGGAAATTTATGGGATCTTATTGTTAGCTTCAGTCATGCTCTTCATTTTTTTTTCAATGCGGCACTTTAGCTCTAGGCATTATCTGGGTACCTTTTTCTTAATGCTTTTGGACATTGTAATAAAGTATATCAATTAAGTGCTATACAGTACTGTAGTTTGTAGATTATGTTAGTAAGCAAGTACAGTAAAAATGAATCTCACATTTTCAGCAACTGAGGCGTCCGTCTGAAGATCAGGGATGAATTAAGAACAGTACCGTATTCATCCAATGAAGTTTTGACATTACAGTATTTAGTGACGTTCGTTCAAGAATACGAGTGCTGCACATTTCAAAGCAACAACCCCGCAAACTGAAAAATGGCTCAACGATTGATAAAACGCAGAATTTCACGATTTTCCCCGCCAAAATCGCTGAAAATGCAGTTCGTTGGCACAGTTTTCAGATCACCGTGGATGTGGTTACATTGAAAACACATTAGCAATTGAGATTCTTATAGAAAACTATAGTCAAGTGACAACGCTCATAGGTCATCATTATTTTAGTTTTATTCATCATCCGGGCAGCGAGTGTTGCAAAGTTAGCCCATAATATGCATCAATAACAGCGACTATATTTTGTTATATTATTTTTTATGTGTTTTATACTTTTGTTACATGTTTTCTTTTTTTTTATTGAAAACCAAAGCTTAGACGTAGATTAAATAATTGATTTTTCTTTCCCCAAATCATGACTTCTCAAAGATGACCACGTGATCCTCGCATTAGAGGATGATCGTCAGAGAAACGAAGGATCCGTGGACGACATTCGCCAATAAGCGGAGCTGACCATGACCGGGTTTGCATCCATCTGCTGCGGCGTCCAATTATGCCGCCCTTGTCTGAGGCGGCGGCGCACGTACGCATTCGGCATCTGCTATTCTATCCTCAGTGTTTTGAGCATCGCGATCATTTGGCTCCTCATGCTAGGAGGCGTACCGTCCAGTCTCCGCACTCCACCAGCGACTATCCACGGTCAGCCATTGATGCACTCACAGTCACCATCAGGGTTGTCCCAGTTGCAAGACGCGGCCTGCGTAATTTTTTTTTTACTTAGCTGTGACTTGGAACAAAATTTCGTGACGTAGCCCATGATGTTTCAAGGTTCTGGCTTTTTTTAAAGGATTTTTGAAAGAAGTTTTCCAATTTTCTGCACAATGGTAAGTAAAAACTTTCCCACAGCCGGAGTTCTCCACCCATGTCACAGGGTGCTACAATTGGTCAGGTTAGCTAGTAATAGCATTTTTTCAAATAATCATTATCTAAAATGAAGAAAAGATGAAAGGGCAGAACAAAAAATCTCAATTTTAGCCGGCCTGGCACATTTTTAGTACCCTGTGGCATGGTGGAGAACTCTGGCTGTAACTGGAAAGTTTTCACTCATCATAAATTAAATTGAATTCATTTTTAATTCGAAACATAATGGTCTATGTATTTTTTTAACGATAAAACCTACTCAACTTCGCAACGTGCACGCATACAGGCCAAATTTCCATTATCATTATTATTTTTTTAATAACTGAAGAAACCTTACATGTGCCTCTTACACACGAGGGATTTAAGATACCGTATTTACTTAAAAACCAAGATGCCCTCAAAAAAGACGCGCACCTGGATTTTTCAATCTTAAATTTGGATAAAATCCTTTCCTTGAGTAAGAATAAGCGACCTCAATTTTCAGTGACGGAAAATTTGCAAATATCTCAATGATAAAAGAATAAAACAAATGATAATTCGAATTTTGACTCCAATTTAACCTGCATTTCGTTTATTTTCGTTTCCAACTTGAACGACTTTCTGGAAATATGTAGAAACATTTCCATTCGAATTAAGTGAGACATGCACCTAAACTTGTAAAAATGTTACACTTATCTATGACGCACACCCTCATTTCTTCCTTCTTGATTTTTGAAAAAAAAGAGCAATACAGCAGGTGGACTCGCACTAAGACGACTTTTTCTGTGTAACGAATTTTTCTTTAGTCCCATAGATTTATCTACATACCGAATAAATTGGGGTTCTCTACAACTGATTTTTTCTGGTCCCTGAATTTAGTTGTGCGAGAACCAAGCTGTATATGTAAAAAATAAAATAAATAAGAAAGGCTGGCTCCTAATTTCGCATCCAGAACATCTAATGCAGAAAGTCAATATGAGATGAGGTTTTCAATTACTGTACGTATAAAGCCGTTCACAAAATAGAAAATAAATTTACTGTATTTTCCTCATTTATTTTTAACTACAGTAGTCCCCAATGAATGCTCGTCGTGAGCGGGTGGGGGTGAAACGGCTTTTCAATGGAACCCTATGGGTATTCCAAAGTCTGGGACATCCCTCTCGTCTTTTGAAAAATTCCAAATTTAAACTACCATCATTTTATTTACTTGTTTGTTTCTAGAACATCGCGCGGACATGCTGCGCCGAATCCGACAGACAGACCCCGATGACAATGACGCGTCTCCGCATGCATCCGAACAGCAGCAACGTGGAGAGCTGAGCAACCTGGATCTCTACGCCCTGGGCTGTGAGGCTGCCAAAGTGTACCCGGCCGTGGTGACGTCGAAGGCGCTCAAATGGCACCAGACGCCACGGGCTCAACTTTTGCCCGAGGGACCCATTTTCGACGGGCGTCGCTTTGCCAACTGCGTCGCAGTGTCCAATTCCGCCGCGCTTTCCGGATCACGGCTCGGCAGATTTATAGGTGAAAAGGATAAGGGGGTAAACAGGCAGTTGATTTATGCTGTACCTGTACCGCGATTTGCAAAACAGAAATTTGTTTTCATTTGTTGTATGAGACCTCTACATACCGTATCCAATCGAATTTGTATAAGATGCTATCGATTATACAGTTAATCGAGACTCACTCGTCTAATTGCGTCGCAAAAAGTACAGTAGATCAATCTTGCTTGCGAATACAAGACGCGCGCTTTCATCACGTCCAGTATTTTTTTTTTCAGAATCAGAACAGTCAATTTATTATTCCCTACATTCAACTTACTCTTCAGTTTTCAGATTGATCTTCTCAGACACTCGAATCAAGAATTAGGATTCTAACTCTTGTGCCGTTGGACTGAAAATACTTTACTGAAGAGGCTTCGATTAATTATTGTGCATCCAAGAAGAGAAAAAAACAGTGAAAATGGGAGCATAATCTTCGAAAATAATAAATTCGAAGGGATCCAGTTTTTCATAGTTAAGTGTTCTTGCATTGTAGTTCAATGTGACGTCAAAAGAGAAGATTTGGCATTTTCTTGGGAAATCATCGTAAATATTGCACCGAAAATGTTTCTACATTATTTGAAAACTTTGCATTTTGAATCAGCTGAATTTGTGGATTGTAGAAGTTTACACCACAATTTCGAACTATAGTACCTACCTTCAATGGTTGAAAAGGACTAAAGGTTCTTAATTTCTTCGTACACTTGAACAAAACTCGGCAATTGTTTCCCTCGCGGTAAATTGGCACACGACGATGAATATTGCAAGGAGTAGTAAAAAGCTACGGATGCTTTGATAATAGAGCATTTTTCCAAAAAAATATTATATCCATGTAGTTGAAACCGAATCTGAAATTTTTCTGGTGCTCAGATATAGATAAGATCAAATTGCAAAGGTGAGAAAATAACTGAGCGAACTGTTTCATTATTTCTCCTGAACCGAAATGTTCATACTAATGCAGCCAGAGCAAAAAGAATATCAAATTTACCACTATATGACGATCGCGAAGCTATTTCGAAGAATGCAGTACAATTTGATGTTTTATCGCGTTATCTCCAGAAACAAAAGGAATCCCTCACTAAAAATCAAAGTTGTTTCCGATATTTCTCAGAATACAGCTCGACGAAGTGTCTCCCGCAAATGCTCGCGAAAATAACGAACCCCCAGGCAAGGGCACCGTTAGCCTGGGGAAGGTTACTACTTACCTAACTTAATTCTCTTCACTGCGAATACTGACCCATATCTACGTACCAGGATCCCCCACCCTCAGAGCTTTAGCGGGATCTTGGACTTTTTTGGATCCGCTCTTCTCTTTGAGGGGTGGGTTGGGATTTGATTCATTGGGACAGTGAAGAGAATTAAGTTAGGTAAGTAGTAACCTTCCCCAGGCTAACGGTGCCCTTGCCTGGGGGTT